ATAATACATACTGTGTGTTTTCTTCAAGCTTTAAGAATTTTCATCATTACTGTTGGTGCAGAGATTGTTTTTCTGCTTATTTATGGTGGGCAGCAGCTTGGTGATTTTTCGTTACATCTCCCTGCCAGTTAGGATATTTTTCCTACAAAAAGAGTCGTGGCATTTAAAACCAGCTCTTAATAATTAGATAATTAGATAGAAGAACGTGACCCTTTTGGTTTTAGGGTTGTGGGTAAGTTAGCTGGTGATGGGTCAGTGCCCTGCAGCAGCAATATGTGCTGCTGCTCCTCTCTTTATGCTTTCCAATAAAACAACTCCTGTCCCTTGACCAAGAACTGGAGGGTTGGTTTGTTTTTAAAAAGAACCCAACTGGACAAAATTCCTCTGCAGATTCACATGGTTTTAACTAGTTCTTAAAATTTCTTTAAAATCTTAACTCCCTTTTTCTGATTGCTTTTGGAACATCTTCTCATGCAATAAGAAGCTGCCTAGAAGCACAAAATTCAATGGATCCATTATTAGTCATCTAGACACATCAAATGACCCCCTGCTCAGCAAGTGACACAAAACCAGGGTGCCTTCAGCAAGGGTGAGGCTTGAGTGTTGCTGGTCCCTTTGGTTGGGATGATGCTGTTGTGTAGATTTAGGGCTCTCTTAGTGGTTTCTCACCCATCCCTTATAACACAGCCAGAATTGTGTCATTTTGGGATGGCTGAGCGTTGCTATGAGCTGTTAAAACATGGAGGCTGCTTATTGAAAAGCTGATTTTCAGGAACTGCAGTTTCTGTAGCAGAATTTACATCTTCATGTCGTGGATTATTTGATAAATGGATTAATTTAACTTAAATGAGCATTAATATAAGGACACGTGTCTTAATGGCTGAGTTTTTATGAGTCATTTGGAAGCCTAGTGCATGGATTCGTTGCAACATTTGCAATTCTAACAGCATTGGTAGTGCTAAAATTGAAGCCTGTCACTGGGGGACTCGGTGATTATTTCAGGAGCAGCTGTTTGGGGATATCTTTCTAGATTAAAATCTCAAGTTTATTAAACAGAATTGAAAAAGCTGACCCTTGGTCCTAAAACGGGGAAGTCTGAAAAGAAATGGAGTTGGCTCCTCATTCCGGCCCCATTTTCCTTGTGGCTGCTGTTTCTGCCAGACAAAATGACTGTTTATGCTTCCCCCAACGCCGCCCACTCTTTGGAGACTCTGCTGCTGGTTGTGTTGTGGGTTGTTCAGAGGAGTGATTACTTGAACTAGCCTGAAATCTGCTTCTTTTCTTCTTTTTTTTTTAAGATGTACACACGATTTTCTGCATAATACATTAAAAAGCTTCTTTTGCAGCAGCCTCTTCTATTTTTGTGTTTGGCACTGTAGGAAAAAAAAATCATTGACATATAGACTCTGTAAGAGACAATTTAATTTTCTGATTAGACTTGGAGCTCAGTTCTTTGAGCAGGCCCCAAAATACTTAAACATCTGTCAGGAAATAGACATTTGAGGAAAAAGAAGCTCCTCAAATACCTCACTTTGGTACCACAGATAGAACGTGCTGAAAGACAAAGCTCATTCTGTGTGTCACTGACACTGGTGTGGGATTTTTGCTTTTAAGCCCCTGAGGTTCTGTGTGGTGGGTCCTTGGCTGCCCAGGAGCAGCATTACATCTGTCTGCACCTGTTTTCTTCTTCACGTTGCACTTCTTCACAGCTGCTTCTAAGAAAGATGTTTCCCAGGAACCACTCCCAGGAGTCCTGTCCCACCTCAGGCTTGGTTTTGTGGACCCAGGGGGAGTGTTGGGAAGTATCAGCTCTCTCCTTCCAGTCTCCTGAGGCTTGCCCATGCCTAGGAGCAGTGCAGAGCCTGGCTTTGGCTCTGAGGTAACTCTGGGCTCAAATACCACCTGAGCAACGCTTCTCTCAGAAGTATTTGGCCTTGTAAACCATGCTTTAAAGTTTCCAAAGACCTGCATGTTCTTGGGTGCTTCAGTTCTCACACCCAAAAGCATACAGACCAGGGGAGAGATAAGGCAGGTGATTGATGGGATGTCACTGGGAATTCTGATGACATACTGGTTCCTGTTCTTGTACAACAGGAGGTTCCTCACTTATTTTGTGACCCCCTTATTAGGCACATTTTTGGTGGGTTTTCTGGGTTTTTAATGCTTCAGAAAAAGTGTTGAAAAGAGAGTTTTAAATTTGGAAGGGAGGTGGTTTTGTGGGTGACAAACACATCTCACAAGCACAGGAGAAGGATCACTTGGGTTTTTCCTGGTCGTTTTGTGCAATGCCCCCATGGCTGCAGGACACAGGTATTAGGCAGATTTTTGGTGGGTTTTCTGGGTTTGTTGGGGTTTTTTTAATGCTTCAGAAAAAGTGTTGAAAAGAGAGTTTTAAATTTGGAAGGGAGGTGGTTTTGTGGGTGACAAACACATCTCACAAGCACAGGAGAAGGATCACTTGGGTTTTTCCTGGTCGTTCTGTGCGATGCCCCCACAGGACACGGGGTGGCTGGTCCCACTGGGCACATGGAGTCTGGTGTTCAACGTGCTCCTTGCTGGCTCTTCCCAGCCTTCCTGCTGCTCCTGGTGCAGGTCCATGGCTGTGCTGCTGCTGTGGCCGAGCTGGCAGGGAGCAGGTGTGGGAGCTGTGTCTGCTGCCTGCTTTTGGGGTGTGACCCGGGCTGGTTCTGCCTGGGAGGATTCCCTCCTCCCTCTAGGAAGAGAGGCTGCCTTCAGCTGAGTGCTGCAGATAACAAATGGTGGGGAACAGAGATAAGGCTTAGAGTCAGTGGAACATCAGGGGTGGTACAAAGGCCATCAGTTTAGGCTCTCCTGTGTTTTTAGCACTGTGATCTACATAACAGCATGCATTATGTACAGTTTATCACTTACAAGATGCTCTTCAGTGTAAGAGAACTACTACAAATTCTACATGTTTCCCATGAATTTTCAGTCTCTGGATTGTGTACTCCTCTTGTGTTCTCTGCAGCCATGCTGGGTGTGCAGTGAACTTTATTTTGTAATAAATGCTCATCCCTGTGAAGTTTAAGTAGTGCCTGTTGGAGCTAAGGTGAGGGTGGAGAGCAGGAGAGAAGGGGCAGGAACACTCTTTGTTGCTGTTTTCAGCTGGTAGAGATCCCAACCTAGCCCAGAGATATTTTGTGTAGAGGGGCAGGGGAGGGAGCAGCAATGCCAGTGCTGCCCAGAAGAGCTTTCTACTGAACCATGGGCTCAGGGGTGTCAAAGGCAGTCAAGCCCTGAGTGCTCTGCAGGGGTGACTGAAGGATGGACCACTCACTTCACAGCAAGTCCCTTGGTGAGAGCCAGGAAGGATACTTCTTTCTTGAAGAGGAATTAATAGTTGGTTTAAATCAGTTATTTATCAGTTATATATATCAGTATTTCTTTATAGCTCCCACTTCAAAACCTTCATTTGAAATGCATTTCTCCTACCTTATTGATGCTTTTTAATTGCCTGTGTCTTTTACATGGTTTTAGATTGGAACAAGTGTGTCTGTAAATGTGAAAACACTGACGTTTCATTCCTTGTGAGTGAGCAAATCTGGATGATATTTAAATGGTATTTATTTAAAGAGGGTCTAGGAAGGAGTTTCCAATGGCTTTGGCTTCTCTTTGGGATGCACTAGTACTCAGCAGCCACCTTTATGAGAAATATGTGGGTTTATCTGGGAACATAAAGGAGGATTCTGATGTTTGCCTCATGCTGTTTGCTGGAGCTTTTGTTTTGGAGTGGTGGCATTTCAGAATGCACGTTATTCACTCTTTACACCTAAATTGTAGGGTTGAGGAGCTGGGTGTCTCTTCTCTTTCTTCCCTCCTTCCCCAGTGGCAGGTAGTCATTACCACTTAGGAAGCCTTGGCAAAAGCAGGTTTAAAGCTGGCTACATCTGCCTTCCCTTTGTAGTTGCTGGCTTCCAGTGCTTTGTCTGTTAATTTAACTAATTCATTAACCACGGCACACTCTCCTCAGCCAGACCAGATGCACTTTTATCTTCAAATTGTGGGTGGAATAGGAAGCCTTGAAAGATTTTTCACAAATACACAAAGGACTTCTCGTGCCAGTCCTGTGTGTTATGTGGAAGCAGGAGCTGCAGAGCTCAGGGGAGTTACAGGCCCTTCACTGGGTGAGACACCTGCCTGCCTTCGACTCTGATAGGTGTGTTTTAAACCCTCTTCCAATTTCCATGTTCTCTCTGCCTGGCCTTTAAATAACTGTACATGTCACGTGCTTGGAACAAAAAGTTGGGGAGCCACAGCTGTACTTCTCACACCTCCTGCTTACATCAACAGAGACTTCAGTATCTTTGACACAAAAATACTGGCTGTAATTTCACTTGTTAAGATACTGACACTTCCTGATGCTCCAGATGTGAGCAGGAATTCATGAGGAGTTTGAGTGCTCTTCAAATAAAGCAGGACCTCACAGGAATGAGGAACAGCAAAAAAAATGCTTTTCCTTCAAAAATGTTAGGGTACAAAGTGTAAAGAATACTGCCACACAGATAAGAGACATACAGGTCTTTTACAAGAGATATTAAGCATTGGGATCAGTGCAAGAGAAACAAAAGATGCATGTGGATTAAACCCAGAAGCAACAGGTGAGAAATCTTAGTTCAGTTTAGGAATTAATTTTCAAAGAAAGTTTCGTGGATGTGCAGGTAAGAATTTTGTCAGGAACTAAAACTTGGTGCCAGAAAAGCACTATCTGTAAACAGAACTCATTAATATCTGATTATTTTTTTCTTTTATGGAGGACTGCTGTATAGAAGGCAATGACTGTTGCTAGTACAGGATATTTAATTCTGTAGCAGGCTGTGGTGTGATCTTTTGGCTGCTGCTCACGTTGGTTTCACTAATAAACTCAGCAACACAATTTTGTATGGACCCCACTGGTTTTTTAAGTCACAAATAACTTTTTTTGTCTTTAACTTCAGGCAAAACAGGGCCAACAGTCTCACAAAGTTTTGTTTTGTTTTCAGTGATGTTCTGGCACTGCCTATTTTCAAACAGGAAGATTCCAGCCTTCCCCAAGAAAATGAGACCAAACATCCACCCTTCCAGTATGTCATGTGTGCTGCAACGTCTCCAGCAGTAAAACTGTATGATGAAACTCTCACATACTTGAATCAAGGTTGGTATGTGTATCTTGCAGGCATGACTACAGGGAATGTGGCTTCTGGAGCAGGTCTAAAGCTGGAGTTGTGTTCCATGTTTTCATGCATGTGGTGCCAAGGGCTGGGGCTGCACTGGCCACAGGATGAATGACAGACCCTCTCTGTTAACTCCTCTCCCTTCCTGAAGGGAAGAGAAAGGGAATAATAAGGGAGAGAGACTTATGGATTGGAAAACTAAAGAGCTTTAATGAAACAATGACAGTAAAATAATGAAATATGTACAAAACCAGTATGGGATGTCACCTCTGCTGCAGGGTGGGCACTGGGGGAGTCCCAGGCTGGACTCTGCAGCAGATGGGAACCAGCTCCAGGAGCTGGACTCTGGAGTAGGATCCAGGAATGCACAGATTGGGATTGAAGGCTTGGCCACTGAAGAAGAGGCTTGTGCCTCGTGCTTGCTCAGCTTTACAGAGAACATGGCATAGGTGGGATAGGATCCCTCACTGGGCACTTCAGGGTCACCTGGCTGTTCCTCCCTGCAGGTGCCACCCCTTACTGCACTGCCAGGATGCTGCACAAGACTCAGCAGTCACCTTGCTCTGCACAGGCCAGGTGTAAGCAGGAGCCTTTCTGCACACACCAGTCCTTGGTAGTCACTCTGAACATCAAGCTAGAAACACTTCTGAAAGCTGACACACTGTCTGCAGAAATGTGCTGTTAACTTCAGGAGGTGCTGTCACTGAGAAGAGCCTGAACAGAGTCAGTTCTGTTCTAACCCAAACCAGGACGTGTGGTTGCAGCACATCCTAAACAAATGCATGTTGAAAATGAGGTTGGGTACCTTGCTGCTAGACTTTTGTCCAGCTCTCAGCCATACCCTCTGTCATTACTCCCCCTTTGCCACAAAAAGTCTTAAAAGTTAAAATGCCATTCCCTAAACAGAGGCTGCTGTGATTAGGAGCTGCACATACCTGCCTGGGATGGAGTTCTGTGTGAAACCCAAACACAGGTGCCCCTCCTCTGGAGTCTGTGTTCCTCTGGTGTCTGGGGGCATTTGCCAGGAGTTAACTAGATAAACACTGCAGCTGAGCCTTGCTGGCTTTGCCTCAGCCTGTGCTTGATTTGCATGAAAATCCCATTTAGCTTCTGCAGAGGGTGCAGCCTGCTGGGGAAATGGTCTGAGTGGAGTCACTGCCCTGGGACAAAACCTCCCTGGCTCTGGGAGTGACACCAGTGTCCTGGGTTCAGCCAGCTGGTGTTCTCAACTCCAGTGAAGCACCTCATCTGGTGCTTTTTACACTTCCCAGAGCAGCTACGTGGCCAGAGTGAAACTTGCCTGTCCCTTTCTTTTGAAAACTTCCCTGTGGTATTTTTTCAGTTTTGAGCCTGGCATTCCTAAAATGCTCTTTTCATCAGAACTTCAGCCTTTTAATGTTGTTTTGTACCTGTAGAAGGTTAGCAGCACTTGCTGAGCAAGCATTCAAAATGGTTTTTGTCCCCTAATGCCTTTCAAATAATGGTTATAGAGAACAGAGAAATATTTATACAATCATAGAATCATTTTGGTTGGAAGAGACCTCTAGGATCATTGAGCCCAGCTGTTCCCCCAGCCCTGCCAGGTCCCCACTGCCCCGTGTCCCTCACACCACATCTCCATGGCTTGGAAAACCCTCCAGGGGTGGGGACTCCACTGCTAGCTTGGGCCAGTCCTTGACAACCCTTCTGGGGAATAGTTTTCCTTCTGTTCAACCTAAACCTCCCCTAGGGCAACTTGAGGCTGTTTCCTCTTGTCCTGTCCCTTGTTCCTTGGGAGAGGACAAACAGGCCATAGCTGGTGGTTCCACCCATCTGTGGAGCCCCAAAAGGAGCTGAAGAAATCATTTGGTAATTCACAGGGGTATGACAGCTGAACCTTGGCCTTGCAGGGCCAGCCAGTAAATGTCTGTCCAGTGTAGCAGACACTAGAGCATGAAGTAGTTTGGAGGGTGCTGTGGCAGGGGATGCATTTACTGCACTTAGTTCACATCTTGAAGTCTATTTTGTCTTGTATTTGGAAAAACTCCATTTTTGCAAAGGAATATGTGCTGCTCACCTTGGCAGAGAAAGGTCCCTGTAGCTTAAATCAATTCCTTCCAGCTTTCTCTCTTTTGAAGCATAACAATTTGTCAAATCCACTAGAAAGATCAGTTCACTCATAGCTGCTTGAAATAACCAGGAACCAGCTCTTCTAAAGGCTTTTTTTCTGAAATAATACAAATCCTACAGAGGCAACAACAGGGACCTGGGCAAAATTAGACATGAGAGAGTGGTGTGTATGTTGTACAGAGAGCATAAAAACTCTGCAGGAGTTTGTTCCTGGAGACCAGTCTGTGGTTTGCACTGCTGCATTTCATCAGTTTCAAAAATACAGGAATTCAGCTTGAAAAGCTTTTGTTCAGGAAACAAAAAAAAAAGAAAGATAAGTGCCTCATGTAAAACCCAGTCCTTAACTTTGAGGGTGTCTGTGTGTTTAAAGGGACCAGAAAGATTCATTTTCTTCCACTAATCCCTGTGCTGTGAAGTGAACCTTGCTGTAAAAGTCTTTTTAAAGGGAGATTTCAGGTGCTTGTCCTTGGGTAGTGCTGTTGACCCAGGAGCTGGTTTGGGTGCATTACACAGCAGATAACTCTGTGCTCAGTCCTCCACTGACAGAAGGTTCCCTCTCCTTCCAGGCCAGTCCTATGAAATACGGATGCTGGATAACAGGAAGGCTGGAGACATCCCAGAGATCAATGGGAAGCTGGTGAAGGTGAGCTGAAGTGCTCTGGGTGGCTGGGCTCCTAACAAACCTCTGCTGGCTGCCTGTGGGAAGAGTCCATTTTAACCCTTTATTCTGCTCAGACACAAAGGGAAGTGGAACCAACTGGATCTGACCAGTAAAGGAACCGGTTCCAGCAGAACCTTAGCTTTGTTGGTTTACTTCAGGTTTACTACAGATTAAAGGAATGTAGGTTTTTGCATTTCCCCATTTCTGAATGGGTTCATTCAATGTAATTTTAGATAACCAAAGGTGAGCTAATCACTGGATGTACCCATCCACAGTGTAATCTGTTCTAAGAGGAGCTGGATCTCCACTAAACGTGCCCGTGGCTTTCTGCTGAGTAACAGGAAGCTGTGGCAACAGTGCTCTCAGTTGAGCTATCTAAAGTTAGGTGAGGCAAATCCAATCTCAAGACTGCATTTTATGGATTTTTTTAATAGATTTTTTTTTCTGCTGTCACTAGATGCTTGTTCAGAATGACTGCTGACCAGTGACACTTGAAATAAAAAGTCTGGATAAGCAGAATATAAACACCCAGCGTGTATAGTCAGTGTGTGTAGTGAAGACTCAACTATTTTAGACAACTTAGTGTCATAAGCTTGTCATACAGGCTTGTTTGGAGCCATTTCCCTGACCATGTCCAGTGAGCAGGAGATGTGGAGGGAAGCTGGAGGATCATGGACAGAGCAGTGGAGCTATCAGGAGCATGTTCCTCAGTAGTTGTTACAGAACACATACAGAGCCAGCCTGTGGTTTGTGCACCAGCAGGATATTGGTCCAGGGGAGAAAAATCTGTGGGAAAACACATCTCCAGTTGTGCTGCTGATGGAGCAGTTTGTTCCATAGCTGAGCTCCTTTCCCTGATTGCAGATTTCTCTCCCTGTGCCTTGAGGTCTATGCTACAATTTTTTCCCTTCTGTATACCAGACTGCTTTGTTCACTCATGCAGCAGAACAGAAATGGCTCTTCAATATGACTTAAGCACTTAATCCTTATGTCCTTTAGGATATACAATCAGGTGTGATTCTCTGTTGCATTTTTACAACATTTTCAGCTGTGTCCTGCTGCTCAGTTCTGTTTCTGTGTTCTGCAATATTTTGGGATACTGATGGTTGCCAGATTTTTCTCTAAATACATAATTATTGGCACCGTGGCTATTCTGGAACGTTTGAATGCTTTATCTTCAGGCTGTTTGCAAACATAGAGTAACTTTGTGGCTCATCAGATGCTTGTTTTCTTCTTTGTTTAGAGTATCATACGAGTTGTGTTCCATGACAGAAGGTTGCAGTACACAGAGCACCAGCAGCTAGAAGGCTGGAAGTGGAACCGCCCTGGGGACAGACTTCTCGACTTAGGTATAATTGTTTCTATCTGTATGAAACTCAATTTCCAAATTTAATTGTGTCATGGTCACATTTATGCCTTGGGCTGGTGAAAAAACATAGCCCAGTTTTGTGTGTGCTGCTTTTTCACAGTGTTTATTTGGAATAGAGATGTTCTTACCCCTTTCACATTCCTTTAAAACCTTCGTGTGCTCCAGAAGTAAAATAGCAGCTCTGCAACCTTATATATTTGGTAATCTTTAGTTTGTCTCCATTTTGCCTAAGTTGATCATTTTTGGTGCATAAGTTGTTTGGGTTGGGGGAGGAAGGGAATCAAAAAGCACCCCAAACCCTGAGCACTTTGTATGTTTTGGTCAACTAAAATTCTTTATATCAGTCCTGAGAAACTGCCACTGAAGCCCATGTCTTTCCACCCTACCTGTGTTTGCTGATGGTAGCCTTGTATTAAAACTTAGTTTGTAGTGTTAATCTTTAGGTTTTTTAGTTTGTCTGCATTTTGTCTAAGTTGATCATTTTTGGTGCATAAGTTGTTTGGGTTGGGGGAGGAAGGGAATCAAAAAACACCCCAAACCCTGAGCACTTTGTAGATTGGGTCTACTAAAATTCTTCAGATCAGTCCTGAGAAACTGCCACTGAAGCTCATGTCTTTCCACCCTACCTGTGTTTGCTGATGGTAGCCTTGTATTAAACCTTAATTTGTAGTGTTTCCTTGGCATCTGATTGTTTTGACATATATACTGCTTGTTTTAATAGATATTCCAATGTCTGTTGGAGTCATTGATATCAAGACAAATCCAAGCCAGCTCAATGCAGTTGAATTTTTGTGGGATCCAACAAAATGTACATCTGCTTTTATTCAGGTTTGAAACTTTACTTGACTGGATGTCTGTGTGTGATGCCCTTCAGGTCACAAACAGTGTAGCTTACAAAAAGCTTACAAAAAGCTCTTTGAAGAAAGCAGTCATGGTTAAAATAATTATACAATGTATTAGAATTAATCTGTGTCACTCTAAATAGCTATTTTTCTGTTGAGAGGCCCACCCTCCTCGTGGTGAGCTTCAGCAGAGGCTTAGCTTGAGGATACAAAATGAAAAATCATGTGCTACAAAGACAGCTTTAAACCAGACACTCAGAGATGTTTCTCATGATGTCAGTAGGCTCCCCTGTAGTAGGATTGTTATTAGTTTGGTATTCAGGGCAATTGGAAATAATATAGGTGTAATGTTCAGATTTGCACTGGCATTTTTAGCTTACTTTTGTCCCAGATCTGTTTTTATTACAAAATAAAAAGATAAAAAGTTAGAGGTAGCAGTGCCTCATACTGAGGCTGCCCAAACAGGTTACATTCCATATTCTCAGTAAATTAGCCTAGTGCAAAGGCATTTTTCCCAGTAAGATGATGTCACTACTAAAATGGAATATCCTTGAAGAAATGGGAGGTAAACTATGAGGTATTTTTGTTCATGCATAGAAGGAGTGGGAGCAGACTGGAAATGGAGGTGGCCCCAAAGGCCTGAGAGCGCGGCGTAGAGCGCTGGCAGCAGGCTTGAGGCTTGGATTCCCAGTCTGGGTCCTCTCCTGGCCATGGCCTTGGGAGATAACACACAGTAATGCAGCCACTGACAGCACAAGGTGCCCACGGTGCTTGGCTTGCTTAAAATTCCATCAGAGAGAAAAAAAAATTGGGAGCACTGACCAGTGAAATTGATCACAACTCTTGGTTATACTGATTTTCTCCTTAGAGATCTTCTAGGGGTTTTTCTAGCTTGTAAACCCAGTCTTCATTCTGATCAGCACTTGAGGTGGTTACAGACTGATGAAAAAGTCTGCTGACTTGTGTAGGAAGTTTGGCACATTTGAAAAGACCCTGATTGCCCATGAGATTAAAAACCCTTCCAGTCAGAGACCTCCTCTTTCCTTAAGATCCAGCAGGTTCTCGCTTAATAAAAATCTGTAATGATTCCTGATTTTAGGGGAGAGATAGGCTGGGTAACTTGGTACTTGTCCCTAGAATATGTTTATGATGTTGGTAACACAAAGTAAAATTCATGTCTAGAATACTTCTGAGGGTCCTTCTTGTTTGGTGGTGTTTTTTTCCAGGTACATTGTATCAGCACTGAATTTACCCCTCGGAAACACGGAGGAGAGAAAGGAGTTCCTTTCAGGATTCAGGTTGACACTTTTAAACAGACTGAAAATGGAGAGTATACAGATCACCTGCATTCAGCCAGCTGTCAAATCAAAGTTTTTAAGGTAAGGGCAGAAAACGGATCCTTTCTAAGTCTCTCAGAAGTTCTCATAAAGATGGGGGGACATCTTTATATCCCTGCTTGACTTCTGAGATCAGATTTCAGTTCTAAAACCGTTTTCCACTTGCGTTCTTGTTCATGTAACTGTTCGGATCCTTTGTAAGTCTCTCAGAAGTTCTCATAAAGTGCTTGACTTCTGAGATCAGATTTCAGTTCTAAAACCGTTTTCCACTTGCGTTCTTGTTCATGTAACTGTTCATTTTTAGCCAAAAGGAGCAGACAGGAAACAGAAAACAGACAGAGAAAAGATGGAAAAGAGAACTGCACATGAAAAAGAAAAGTATCAGCCTTCCTATGACACCACAGTCCTCACAGAGGTAAGGAACCAGAGTTGTGCCTGCTGAGCAAGGGGAAGGAGCTCCGGTAGGGCTGATGGCCCAGCTGCAGTCGTGGGAGGGCTGGGGAGGCTCTAGTGCTGCACAGCATCAGCTTTCTGTGTGACAGCTTGTCCAGTGAACAGCAATGCTGAACTGTAAGATTTTGAGTAGTAAGCTTTCATTTAGACACTGGATAGATGCGTTTATTAAAACACACATAAATGGAACCCTGACTCACTGTACTGAACCCTAGAGCAAGTATTTTGGTACAGGTCTAAAAGCTGAAAAAAAAAGAAATTAAAAGGGGGGAATCTTGTATTCAATTATCAGCCAGATTTGAGCTTCAAAGTCTGGTTTTTGGAGATTACTGAGTTTCAGGGCAGAGCCTCAGTAGGTTTTTGCATTTCCTTTTTATTAACACATCAGTGAGTTCTATGCAGTTTTCTAAAGGTTTCAGACGTTTTTTAAAAGGCTTTTAGATCTTTCCTCTCTGTATAATGAAAAGAAATTGATCCAAATCTTTGGTGTTTGTCCAGATGAGGCTTGAGCCTATAATTGAAGATGCAGTTGAACATGAGCAGAAAAAGTCCAGCAAGCGGACTTTGCCAGCAGACTACGGTGATTCTCTGGCAAAGCGAGGCAGTGTAAGGGCCTTCTGTTACCTTTTCATTGTGCAAGGGACCCGGGGCAGTGTTAGATATAGGAGAAACTTCCATCCCATCAAGTCAAAACATGCTGATTGCTCTCTCCTGATTTTATTCGCTGTGACGCACGCCAATTACTCCACGTTGGTTTTCAGCAAAGGAATCCTTCCTAAATCTAACACTTCAAACTGTTGCAGAGGGACTGTGTAACTTGTCAAAGTCCAGAGCTTTCCGTTGATGCCACTCTCAATGAACGAGCCTTTTGCTTTCCCCTGTGTGTGTGAGTAGTGGAAGACAGGGGGAATTTAGGGGGTTTGTTCCCTGTTTGTGCCTCACGTTGAACACGAGTTTGTGTCCGTCGGTGTCTTTACACGCTCAGTGCTGGAGGTGGTTGGTGGTTGCTGGCTTTGCCTTTAGCCATGGTTTAAAGCAGAGGAGTCAGTGCTGCTCCTCTCAAGGGTTCCTGCTCTAGACTGCCCCAGGAGATCTCCTAAGGTGAATGTCACTGAGGTGCTGCAGGTGGAAGCAATCCTGCATTTGGGGAGCTGAAGTGCCAGTTAATCCCGGGGCTGTTGTGCTGACAGCTCTGTCCCCGTGGCCCTGAGGTGGGGACAGTCACACTTCAGCCCCTCAGACATCACTCAGCCTGCACTGGTGATCTGTGACAATCCTACATAACATTTAGGTTATAAAATACTTCAGTGTCCACTTCCTGTTGTTCATAGACCCCGCAACTGGGTGGGAGGGAACAGACAATACTAAATCAAATGGATTCTTTGGAGACTTCTTTTTTTCCCCATGGAAAGCATTGTAAGCATGAGCTGCCTGCAGTTACCCAACTCCTCTCTTGGGGTTGCTTTTCTTTCTTTTAAGATGCACCTTTTGGACTCTCTGGAAGCACAGACATTATTTCCTGTGTTCTGGGTGGTTCTGAGGGGAGGTACAGGCAGGAGAAACCAGGCTTCCATCACTCATTTATGAAGCACATCTTCTGAAGCTGGTCCTTGGAGGAGTTTCTACCTTTTTCTGGTTTGGTTTTTTTTTTCCCCCCCTTCCATGCTCTCTTCTCTTTCTGTTGTAATTACTTCACAGAATGATGGTTGGTGATAGGAAGAATAACAGAAGAAGTCAGAGCTGTGCTGATGTCCCAGTTCTCTTAAGGGTGCAGCTGGCTCTTGCTGGTTTCATTTGCCCCCCACACACGCTGCCCTGATCGTCTGGTCGGTTTGCTGAGACTGATGTTTGTTCCTGCAGGATGGAATCCTCTCAGCCTTGCTAATTGTGTCATCTGCAGATCTGGCACGTAACCTAGTGTTTTGTTAGCTTCTCTTGAATTCCAGAAATTCAGCTTGATCCAATCTGTGGCTCTTTCTTTTTTAATACTTCCCTGGGTATTGTCCCTTCCTCCTACACCTCACCTATTATCTAGGCTATCTTTTGTGTTCCTTCCTTCCTTCCTCCACATTTTGTATGTTGGCTTTTTTATTTTGCCCCTCCAAGATTCTGCTGTTCTACTTGCTAGATATTTCTGATTTTCTTTCTTTCTTTGTTTTTTTTATTCACCCTGTGTGATTTCTTCCCACACAGCCACAGTCTGATTTGGATAGATTGTTTTCTCACTGTGCTTCCTTCAGGAAATATTGAATCAAATCTCTTTTCTTTCCCATGTAATTCATAGGGGATTCTAACAGCACAGAGAAGGTTCACTGAAGCTTCCTTCTGAACAGTCACTCTGCTCTGCTCATCTCCTTTCCTAAGAACCAGAGATGTGATTCTGATTGTCATCACCCATCTTGTCCTTCTCATGAGTTTTGATAAGAATGCCCTCGAGATAGGCTTTCCCTCTGCTCCTTTTCACATGCTGTTTCAAAATTTGGTGCTTTCACTGCCACTCCTTCAGCATTTATCTCAGTTTTTCCAGATAAGCTGTAGATAAAGCCACAGTTTGATTAAACTTGGTCGCCTGGTCAGATTTTGGAGGTAGAGCTGATTGTAGGCCATGTGCATGGTATAAGATTTCCAGCTATAGACCTTGAAGTAAATTGGAATATGAAGCTTTAGATGTGAAAGGCTGGTGCAGAAGCTAAATATTTTCTGTGAGACTATTTAAATTTAGAATATAAAACTTTCTAGAGGCTGCAAGAGTCAAAAAATCAGAGCTGGAGCAAAATGGGTTTAGGAACATCAGTATATAGAATTTCTTCAACTTGTCTCTCCTGACTTCTCTCAGTACTTCACCTGGCAGTGTCAGCACACAGGGGGTGTCCTCTGGGTGACTCCACTTTTGGGGATAACTTCTTCACTTCTGCATTCAGAATAATTCAGTCTATATAAGCAGAAGCTTTTTGCAGTTGTTTGGGGCAAGAACCCTGACTTTTAGAAGTTCCTTGGAAGAGCTTTGTCCCATGTATGATAAAATTGCTGCCCTGCTCTCTGGAGACAGTGCTGTGTGCCCAAGCACGGATTATTGGTATCTAATATATATATAATTTGGAGAACAAGCATTTTGTTTTCATGTTGGTTTTGTATCTGAATGTAGCTTGGAGTTCTTTGCCAAAATTCAGCTCTATTCTTATGGAAAGCATGAGTTTGGTGGGTTGGGGTAGATTGGAAACAACATTGAGCAGTGGCATAGGGTAACTTGGGTTTCTGCAGCTCTTCAGATGTTAGGGATGTTCTCAGTTCAAATGCTGAATAGCCTGAGCATTAAAAGTCATGCTCAGATTCCCTGTCTTCCTTCTGAACTCGGTAAGGAAAGATTTCCTGTCTGGCTTTTTAACTCAGCAAAACCATTGCCCAACACTTTATCAGTTCCTTCATGTCCTGTACAGATAGGTTAAAGATCTGAAAGCACAACAATTTCCTCCTTTTGAAGAGTGAATCAGTGTTTGGAAATGGACATGCAACTCCCAGAGTCCCTTGGTGTGGCAGTGCTAGTAATGCAGCCAGGTGGTCCCGAGACCTCCAAACCAGCTGCCTGCAGAATCCCCAGTTAGATGTTCATTGTTCTTGCAGGGGAAGATTTACTGCTGACCTTTTTCCTGCTCTCCTAGGGCTTTTTAGGGAGTTGGATGCTTCCTTGTGGCAGAGTCACATTTTTAAGTTGATGTCAGATGGCCAGGGACTTCTTTAGTATCATTCCCTGGCTGGATGTCCTCTAGCAAGCTCGGTTTTGAGCGTGAGCCTGTAAGAAATACCCTGACTGATAGACCCCATGTAAGGTCCAGTACTCTGTCCTGGCAACTGGAGACACTGTTCTGGGGTCACTGTGCCACCTTCTGTGATCTCTCCATCCCCCTCATCACCCCCAGCCTCCCGAATTGTCGTGGGGGGTTAAACCCCCTCCTGCTTCAGCCTTGGGGCCTTGGTAATGTTCCTGCTGTGGGAGCAGAGGAGGTAGGGACGGGTGGTGATAGGAGCAGGAGAGCTGCTTGCTTTGGGTTGAGATCTGCTGTTTCAGATGAGCTTCTTCCTGCCTTTCAACTCGGAGTTTTGCTGTGAAGAAGCTCAGCTGGGTTTGAGGGACAGGAGCAGCACCTGCAGTGCTGGGAAGGGCTCAGAGGCCGTTTTCTGACAGCAGTGCACTGGTCCCTGCCCCGGCGTTCCCGGGGGTATCGAAGGGGGTCCTGCCATGGGGTAGTGACCAGGGCTGTGCAGCTTGCATCTGCCTGTCCAGGGAAACATCTTGCTTTCAAGTTCAGGAGATGTCAGGAAATAGAAGAAAATTAATTATGCTTTCAGAGTATTTCAGAAGAACACAGTTAACATTGTTATGCTGAGTTTTATTTTAAAATTATGGCTTTGGACCACATAATTAGGGAATGAAAGCCTCTTAACTACCTGTTGTATTGTAACATCATTGAGATTACTGTTACAATGAGCTTGAGAAGAGAAACAACAGATGGGAAGGTAGAGAAAACGGTGTGTGCCCTGCTGGGGAACTTGCACTCTCACTCTGGCAGTGAAGGCTGGAGCCCAGCACAGAAATGGGTTTTTTCCAGAAGATTGCAGCTGGTAATGTGCTTATTTAGTGTTTCTCCCAGATAGTGAAAAAAGTCTTTCAACACAAAATTGTTGAAACATGTTTCCAGTGATATTAGGTCATACTTGTTCCTCTGCCTCCTCCTCCTTCCCCCTGCTCCCCAAGGCTGTGATATGACTCTGGGAACTTCCTTGCAGGGTCTTTAGCTGGTGCTGGATCAGTGTTTCAGAAATCCATGTTGGTTTCACCACCACAGGCTTAGATTACTTCACCTTGGGCAACTCGCTTCTTTTAGTGCTGTCTGTCTGTGTTTGAATGTACCAAAATCTGTTGGGGTTCTATTTTTCTTTAAAATACTGGATTTAGAGTGGTACTTGGAACATGAAAAGCTAGTCTCATTTTGAAGGGCTTTATCATGGTGGCTTCAAAAAAAACATCCAGAAAAGATGGGCTAGAATGGCATAGCCATGGTGACTTAGCTGGTGTATAAAAATCCCAGTTAAGCAGTTCAGAGTACATGCAAGCATCATCTTAGTCCTCTGCTAAATTCAGCACGATTTTCAGTTCACAGAATTTGTACAGAAAATTCCCTCTGTATTTAGCTGCTGTCAGGGCAGACAGAGGTGAAATCTGGCTTTGTAGTTTCCCTTTGCTGCTGCTGAGAGCTGCTGTCGGGGCGTGATGCCTGCAGTTCAACAGCCCCCTCGTCCCTCTGGGGGGAGGAAGAGGCTGCTCTCAGCAGAGGGGCTGGGCTGGGTTGGTGGCTCTGTTTTAAACAGAGTGATCTGAACAGGTCTCTGTCAGCTCCTCCACTAGCCCCTGGTGCTGCTGACAGAAGACAGTGTAAATAGTATAATAATAAACTTCATGAAAGCAGGAGATAAACCAGAACTGATTCTGACCTGGAGTATCTGCATGTCATGCGTGGGATGGAGGGATCTTTGTTTGCAATTACAAATCAAAACTCTGGACAGAACCCAGGCTCTAACTGAAAGAAGTGTGCATCAGAGCAGAAAATGGATTCTCCAGAGAAACTCAAGTTTTGATTCTTTATCCTCAGTGCTCACCGTGGCCGGATACTCCTACAACATTTGTGAACAACAGTCCTACTCCTGCTCCAACCTTTACCTCTGCTCAGCATAACACCTACAGTGTCCCGGACAGGTGGGTTTCCTTCTGTCCTCAAACAGAGCATGTTAAAGCTGGGCTTGTTCAGAAGTGTTTGCTGAGGAAATGCAGCTGGTTGCTGCTTCCCCTGGGGACTGGGAGACTGTTTTCAACCCCCTGTTTATTTTAGAGTTGGACACTTGCATCGTGTGAGTTAATTACAATGTCATTACTTGTGCTTCCACAGTTTGCATTGTTGGAAACTTCTCTAGTCCCTTGTCCTATAGCAAATACTTTACCTCTTAACTCCTAATTTAGTCCTTGCCAATGGAAACTGGATTTGGCTTTTTTCAGTAAGAGTCTTTGTTCCCCTCACACACAGTTCATGTAATTTGCAAGAAAAAAAAAACTAACAATCTTTACAAGCTTTTCAGCAGAATTTGTGTTGATGAAAACATTGTGTATTGAGGCATTAATTAAATTGCTGGAACCAAACTTGGATGATCAGGGAATGATCTTCCTCTTGAAGATGGGCAGTGATCTTTCTCTTAAGCTGAACTTAAGTTATGCTCTATGCAGCATTTAATTCATCTTTCCAGAGGGATGTTTATTGTTTGGGGAATTTCAAGTTATTTTTCAGCCATGCTGAAATATTTTGCTTAATAAAATTCTATTAATACATGGGGTTTTTTTCTTTATCCGTAGCAATTCTTCCTCCCCGAATCATCAAGGAGATGGAGCCTCTCAAGGGTGTGGAGATGTGAGTGTTTGCTTCCTGGTATCGATCGTGGCTATATTTGTATGTTTGGGGCAGAACATTTGATTGATATGTACCTTGATATTAATAGGAATTGTTTAACTGGATGTTTTTTAATGGTTTGGAAGGGTTTTTTACTATCCAAATGATCATGTCTGATCTCGTTTCTTACAGCAGCTTCATCCTTCAGCCACCATCCAGGAGACTCAGCAATGGTTGCTCAAGAACAGGTTCTCTACCTATACAAGGCTTTTCTCAAATTTCTCAGGTACCTACGGTTTACGTTTTTATTTAGAGTCTTTCTTTGGTTTAGTGAGCAAGTTTTGTGGGGGAAAACAATTCTCATAATTTACTGATTTGCTTATTAAAGTCTCTTATTTACATTGGAAGGCATTTTTTCTACTTTGCTTTGTGCAAATTCCCCCTAAAGTGACACTAAGGGTTTTTTTCTATGCCTTCCTTGATTGTCTGTGCAGTATTTTCACAAATACAGACTGTCTTCTCCTTGTCCTCCCACTCATCTGTGACAGTGACTGTTTTGCAGACTGCTGTTTTCTTTGTTGACACCCATGCTGCTTCTGACAGGGATCCTTCATCTCGTGTTCAGATCTGCTTAGCTTCCTTTTCTAAAGTGAATGTTCTAAACCCTTTCAGTCACTGAAGCCATTTTTTTGGACACGGAACATTTTTATACTGGCAGTTTTGTTATTCTTGGTTTAAACGAGCCCAAGATTTGTTTTAAAATGCACGTTCTAAAGTAGCTTCTGGGTGTGTTTCTCCAGGTGCTGATTTATTAAAGCTGACAAGAGAAGATCTGGTACAAATCTGTGGTCCGGCCGACGGCATTCGGCTCTACAATGCACTGAAATCCAGGTGAGGGGGGACCCTGGGGGGGAGTCGCCTCCTGCAGCCCCCCATGCTGGGATGGGCCCAGGGAGCCGTCTAGGGGCTGGGGGGCAGGCCGTGGGTGTGTGTAACCCCCTGGCTGTGCTGCCCTGGGCTGCAGGTCCGTGAGG